TTCTTTTACTTCACATGGGAAGACCTTATATTCTTTATGTTTCAACAACTGACATGGACAGGCCTACCCTAAGGCTTCAGGGACAGTCCCTACCACTTTGGTCAGGCCTTGACACAGGATTTACCTGTTTGTAATTTGGGGATAGCACTCTCTTACAGTTGGATAAAAGCCTTCCCTACCTCCAGGAAAACTGCTAACACTGTCGCCTCCATCCTCATTGAGCAGATCATTCCTCGGTTCGAACTTCCTGCCTCCATCCAGTCAGACAAGGGTCCAGCCTACACTTCTCAGATTGTTTAACTAGTTTCCAAAGGCCTCAGCATCACTTGGAGGCTCCACACCCCCCACTGACCCCAATCCTCCGGTAAGGTTGAGAGGCCTAATGGCATTCTCAAGGATCATCTCACTAAACTTGCTATTGAACTCAGACTGTCCTGGCCCAATCTTTTGCCATTAGCCCTCACCCAAATTTGGGCAACCCCTAGAGCCCCCTCAGGCCTTAGCCCCTTTGAGCTGTTCTATGGGCGCCTTTCTTAATCAACTAAAACTTTCCTGTCACTCCTCCTCCCCTTGTGTCTCACCTGCCCTATCTCATGCTTCTATACAAACTCCTAAGAGAACACACAGACTAGTGTCTTCCTGCACCATCTGTTAACTTCTGTTCCAGCACAACCAGGAATTAAATTGGACCCTCTTCAACCAGGTGATACAGTCTTACTTCTAGAGCTACATTCTTAGTCATTGAAATCTCGCCAGACAGGACCCCATACAGTCATATTTCCACCATGCTGGGGCCCACCAAACCCAAAAGTTTCTCGCCAACTCTCTCCTGTTACTAATCATTAATCTCTCTCAAGCTTCTATCCCAATCCATAGATGGTGCTTCTGCATCCAAGCGACATGGCAACAGGATGGCACCACCCGCTCTCAGTTTATGGGCCAAGGCGATTGCCCTTTCACTGGCTATAATTGGGCCCTTAATGTTACTGGATTCAACTGGGCCACCTCATCCCACTTATGTTTAGCAATGCTATGCTTCATAGCATATCAAACTGAGGAATCCTGTTGAAGCCATATCACCAGGAGGCCACCCCACCTGCTGACGACAAGACAACCCCAGAGGAACTTCAAGAGTCATCTCCTAGACCTCCCCTTTACTCCTGCTCTCCACATCCCAACTATCCTCTAAAGCTTTGCCTGTCCTGCATAACCACACATACTCCACCATGACTCCCACTCTTCTAATTGGTATTTTCACTGTCATCACCCTTCTCCCAGGGACATCATAGTCCTCCTCTTATATTTAGAGATTCAAAGTTAGAGAGACATATGTCCAAGGCAACACTCGTTACATTCGCCTAGTTTCTTCAGTTGATTGCGCCCCTAGAAGATGTAATGCATGTATCTTCCTTCCCCTCTCCTCCCAGAATTCTGAATTTTTAAAAACAGCCACTAGGCCTTACCTTTGCTTCTTATATGATCAGACACAGGATTACTGCAAATGGTGGCCTGAAATCTATGAGGGGTACCTCTACTGGTCATGCAACATTCATAACCCACGTGCGTGCATCGGGGATTCCTGCGTTGGAAATTTCAGATCGATCTCGGGGGGGCTATCAATTGGCTATCACTGACCCCAACCATTCGTGCTGGACCTCTAGGGTAAATGCTTCCTCCTACTGTGACATATCCTCTTCCACCCCCTGTGGCTCCATCTCCATCTCCCGGGAGCTTTAACCCTCCCAGCCCTCAGTAGCTATAATCTCTACTGATATAAAGCATTCCGAACAGCAGTTGTTAGGCTCCATACAGGATCCATATGAGCCTAATATTGGGAGTTCACCATAGTATTCATGACTACGACTACTTGCCAAAACTGTAACCATCTTAAATCAAACCCTCCCCGCCATTGCACCAACTCATTGCTACTTATGCGCCTCTCTGACTCGACCTTTGCTTGCAGTGGTTCCCTTAAACTTCTCGGCTTCTGACCTCTCAAATTTCTCCACTCCATCTGCCCACCATTCTCTCCGGACCCTTTCACCTGATGCTCCATTATGGAAGCCCGAGGAGTCTAA